TTATATTTGTGAACAGGAAAGCTGAACTATAAATTCAGAATATTGATCTCACTTATGCATTTTTTTTTATTTATTGTAAATTGGTTATTTATAATGGCAAGTCATTTTAAAATATAAAAATATTGTTGAATATCATAAATTGTCATGAGTCATATGATACAATTGTTAAAATATGTAAGCTAAAAGGCTGTTATATAATTTTGTATATATTTATAGGTCTGCACATTCAATTAACCCAGACAGAAACTATGAATTGTGTCCAGATGTATAAATTGAATTGTACTGCTTGATAGTCAGATATTGTCTGCATACAATATGAGCTCGTTTTTTTTTTACTATTCTTCCTATGTTTGGATGGTTGGAAATGGGATATTTGCACTGTGAACTACTTCATTCAACTTGTTCTACTCTTTAGTAACTACAAGCAACTACGTTTTATTGTGTAGGATGAAATCAGGAACTAATGTGATGTTATTTATTGCTTATAGGTAAAAATGAAATGGTGTGGACTTTGAAAAACTGAAGTATATTGCGATTATCAAAGACTAAATAAAAAGTGGCATTTTGTATAGGTATCTGGAAGTACATCATCAGTAATGAGTTGGATGTTTGTATTAGACTCATAACTCAATCTCTCTTCACATTAGGTTAAGTAAGCAGACTGCATGTTAAACAGGCCTACTATATGAGCATCTGTGTGTTTTAATGAATACATTTGTTGTTTCCATCCAAAATAATGTATAATGTAGTTTGATTTGAGATCCATTCAAGTTTAGTTTGGAACAAAGATGGGGTTGTCTCATAGTAATATTAATATTTAGAATCAACACTGGTATGTGTTTAAATCTGTGTCTCGGGGAATTTAAATGGCAGCCAGCAGTTTCTACTAATACCAATAATAAGCCCTTGTTCTGTTTCCTAAAGCAACTCTGTCCAATTGTTGTTGTTTTACAACCTTGGTCATGCAGCTCTTACATGTATGGAACTGCTCCAATACTGATCGTATGTTTTGATTGTTCTCAGCCTCACTTGTAAGTCGCTTTGGATAAAAGCATCTGCCAAATGACGAAATTTACATTATACTTCATAGGTTATCAATATACTGTATGTTTATACAAATACAGATCACATATGATCACATTGAAAAATCATCATAAAGGAACATACCAGAGGCGTTTTTGTGTCTTGTAACTAGGGATGTCCGATATTGGCTTTTTTACCGATAACCGATAACCGATATTGTTCAACTCTTAATTTCCGATACCGATATCAACCGATACCGATACCGATATATGCGGCCACGTGAAACCTCCGCTTTACACTCATTGCAATAGGCTTTATGCCGAGCGGAAGTGTGGATTAATAAATAAAAACAAAACAGCGGTAAAAGCTAGCGTGTGTGTCCGGGAGAGGGCTGCTCTCCTCGGACACATTACTCTGAAGCCCCGGTGACGGTCTGGAAGTGCGGATTAAAAAAATAAAAATAAAACAGCGGTAAAAGCTAGCGTGTGTGTCCGGGAGAGGGCTACTCTCTTCGGACACATTACTCTGAAGCCCCGGTGACGGTCTGGAAGTGTGGATTAATAAATACAATTTAAAAAAAAAACAGCGGTAAAAGCTAGCGTGAGTCCGGGAGAGGGCTACTCTCCTCGGACACATTACTCTGAAGCCCCGGTGACGGTCTGGAGGTGCGGATTAATAAATAAAATAATGTGAGCGCGGTACAGCGGACCTGAACCGGTTGTGATGAGACTGTTTCGCAGAATGCGTTAGTATGTTGTGCTGACCCCTATTTTACTATTCAACGTAGAAACTTTGAAATAATTCCAAACCACCGACATAACCACAGCTACAACTAGCGTCCCGCTACACGGCCGCACACGCCCAGGCTTGTTATTGAGACGGCACGGCGCGTTTGATGATGTCATCAAACCACGTCCTCACTTGAAACATAACAGATGTCTGAAATTATTTCAAAATCGATTTTGGTATCGGTTAAAAAACCGATACCGATATTTTCCGATATTGATTTTTTATGCCAATATCGGCCGATAATATCAGTGGGCCGATAATATCGGACATCCCTACTTGTAACGTCTTTATAATAATATTCTCAGCAGTGATCTAAGAACCCATCTAGGGCCTATATGGACACTTGTCACTGTTGGTTGGTAAATGGTTCAATCAGGAAGAGGTGTTTCAGTTATTACACAATGATTTACTTTTTAAGGTAACCCCCCCCCCCCCCCAATATATGACAATTGTGCCATTATACGGTCTGTTAAATACAGACCATGTCAATTATTGAGCACATGTAACACCATAGGATAACATAATTATGCACTCGTAGAGGAAGAACATTTGACTCAGTTAGATCAGATGGGTATGTAAAAGACCTTAGGCAGGCACAATAGTGTCACAAAATCTTGACATTGCCCAATGAAAACATTGGAGGTTGCAATACTTTTGTCCTGCTCACTGCTGCAAACTGATAAAAGTACAAAGACAACTAACAAATCAATAAAAATAATTTCTCATAGGTAAATACCACAGTGAACATATATGTATTTAAATAAAGGTTATTATCAACTCATCACCTTGAGCCATGGCAATGAATATATCTTATCAGTGATGGATGGATGATTGTAGTGGGGAGGGGGGGGCTGACCACCCCTGGCCCCATCATGGCTCCGCCTTTGCCAGTGTCACTGTGTTTCTCATAGTGTGTGTGCGTGCGAGAGGGATGAACTTGTCTTACTGCAGGCCACTGGAGAAACAGTGAACTCTTACATAATGAATACATGAGTTTGAGAGCACCAACAATTACTGACTCACAGTGAAGGAGTGGAGTGAAGAGGAGACTACTATAGATCATGTAATGATCATGGATAACAATTCTGTCATAACAATGTTGACACTTTCAGGGTTGAGCGAGGCGACCACCAACCGAATGGTTCTCTTCTCCCTAACGCTACTTTGTTACTTTGTGATTCTGATGGTGAACATTACCCTGGTTCTGACCATCATCTTGGACCAGAATCTCCACCAACCCATGTATATTTTCCTGTGTAACTTGTGCCTCAATGCTCTTTATGGAACTGCCGGTTTCTACCCCAAGTTCCTTCTAGACCTGCTCTACTCTCGTCACGTGATCTCGTTTGGGGCTTGTGTGGTGCAGAGTTTAGTCATATATTCCTCAGTCTGCGTTGAATATTCAATCCTTGCACTGATGGCCTATGACAGGTATGCAGCGATATGCCGACCGCTCGAATATCACTCTCTTATGAAAAAGCAGAATGTCTGTCTGTTTACATGCTTCTCCTGGGTTATTCCTATTTTAAATGTACTTTTTTTAATTATAAAAACATCTACATTGAAATTATGTGGCTCACATATAGATAAACTCTACTGTGCCAGCTGGTTAATAGTTAAAATCGCTTGTTCTCCTGGCCTGACAAACACCGTTTTAGCATATATTACTATCATTATTTATTTTTTACATTTTGTTTATATATTTATGTCGTACATTTATCTAATCAGAACATGTGTGAAGTCGATAGAAAGCCGAGGGAAATTCATGCAGACTTGTTTGCCACATTTACTGACTCTGCTCAATGTGAGTGTGGCTGTGTTGTTTGATTTGATGTTCATGCGATTTGGTTCAGCAGATATGTCACCAATAATTAAAAATGCATTATCGTTAGAGTTTCTTATAATACCTCCTATTATCAACCCACTAATATATGGTTTTATACTTACCAAAATCCGTAATCGGATTGTGTTTATTTTTACTAATAGGAAAGCTGAATTATAAATTCAGAATATTGATCTCAATTATACATTTATATATTATAAATGTATTATTATTATAAATTGGCTATTTATAATGGCAAGTCATTTAAAATGTAATATTGTTAAATATTATAAATTGTCATGAGTCATTTCATATAATTATTACAATATATAAGCTAAAAGGCATTTATATAATTGTGTATATATATTAATAGGTTTGCAGCATCAATTAAGCCTGAGAATTGATAACAGGTCACAGTCCATATTATGGACAAAAACTAAGAATTGTGTCCAGATAAATAAATTGAATTGTACTGCTTGATATTCAGCTATTGTCTGAATATGAACTAGTTGTTTTTTCCCCCCTAATATTCCTATGTTGAATTAAAGTACACGTTTGGATGGTTGGAAATTTAATATTTCCAATGTGAACTATTTTATTCTATTTTTTTACTACTCTTTAGTAACTACTAGTAAATACTCTTTATTGTGTAGGAACAAATCTGGAACTAATGTGATTTGTTATTTATTGCTTATAGGTAAAAATGTAATGGTGTGGACTATGACAAACTGAAGTATATTGCGATAATCAGAGACTGAATGAAACGTGACATTTTTGCAAAGGTATCTGGCAGGATTTAGAATCAACACTGGTATGTGTTTAAATCTGTGTCTCAGGGAATGTAAATGGCAGCCAGCAGTTTCAATTAATGCCAATAATAAGCCCTTGTTCTGTTTCCTAAAGCGACTCTGTCCAGTTGTTGTTTTACAACCTTGGTCATGCAGCTCTTACATGTATGGAACTACTCCAATACTGATCATATGTTTTGATTGTTCTCAGCCTCACTTGTAAGTCGCTTTGGATAAAAGCATCTGCCAAATGACGAAATGTAAATTACACTTCAAAGGCTACCAATATATGTTTATACAAATACAGATCACATATGATCACGTTGAAAAATCATCATAAAGGAACATACCAGAGGTGTTTTTGTGTCTTGTAACCTCTTTAAATAAATATTCTCAGCAGTGATCTAAGAACCCATCTAAGGCCTATATGGACACTTGTCACTGTTAGTTGGTAAATGGTTTATGTAGGAAGAGGTGTTTCAGTTACTACACAATGATTTACTTTTTCAGGTAACCCCCCCCCCAATATATGACAATTGTGCCATTATGCGGTCTGTTAAATACAGACCATGTTGCTCAGTCCGTAGAGGACTTGGCTTGTAGAGGACTTGGCTGGGAACCAGAGGAATGCAGGTTCAAGTCCAGCACGGACCACAGTACAGAGTGTGGACTGGTGGCTGAAGAGGTGCCAGTTCACCTCCTGGGCGCTGCCGAGTTCCCTTGAGCAAGGCACCGAACCCCTAATTGCTCCCTGGCGCCACTGTTATGTGGCGGCCTATCACTCCACCATCTCTCCTTGCATGTCTATAGGCCTGTCTGTATTTGTGTGTACATGTATTTCAGGCCCTTGTGTGTGTAAAAAAAGTTGAGTGATAAAAGAATTTCCCCAATGTGGGATGAAGAAAGTAAATCATAACCTTAATCTTAAATACCATAGTGAACGTATATGTATTTAAATGAAGGTTGTTATCAACTCATCGCCTTGAGCCATGGCAATGAATATATCTTATCAGTGATGGATGGATGATTGTAGTGGGGAGGGGGGGCTGACCGCCCCTGGCCCCATCATGGCTCCGCCTTTGCCAGTGTGACTGTGTTTCTCATAGTGTGTGCATGCGAGAGGGATGAACTCGTCTTACTGCAGGCCACTGGGGAAACAGTGAACTCTTACATAATGAATACATGAGTTTGAGAGCACCTACAATTCCTGACTCACAGTGAAAGAGTGGAGTGAAGAGGAGACTACTATAGATCATGTAATTATCATGGATAACACTTCTGTCATAACAATGTTGACACTTTCAGGGTTGAACGAGGTGATCACCAACCGAATGGTTGTCTTCTCCCTAACGCTACTTTGTTACCTTGTGATTCTGATGGTGAACATTTCCCTGGTTCTGACCATCATCTTGGACCAGAAACTCCACCAACCCATGTATATTTTCCTGTGTAACTTGTGCCTCAATGCTCTTTATGGAACTGCTGGTTTCTACCCCAAGTTCCTTCTAGACTTGCTTTACTCTCGTCATGTGATCTCGTTTGGGGCTTGTGTGGTGCAGAGTTTAGTCATATATTCCTCAGTCTGCGTTGAATATTCAATCCTTGCACTGATGGCCTATGACAGGTATGCAGCGATATGCCGACCGCTCGAATATCACTCTCTTATGAAAAAGCAGAATGTCTGTCTGTTTACATGCTTCTCCTGGGTTATTCCTATTTTAAATGTACTTGTTTTTAATATAAAAACATCTACATTGAAATTATGTGGCTCGCATATAGATAAACTCTACTGTGCCAGCTGGTTAATAGTTGAAATGGCTTGTTCTCCTGGCCTGACCAACGCCGTCATAGCTTATATTATTATCATTATTTATTTTTTACATTTTGTTTATATTTTTATGTCGTACATTTACCTAATCAGAACATGTGTGAAGTCGATAGAAAGCCGAGGGAAATTCATGCAGACTTGTTTGCCACATTTACTGACTCTGCTCAATTTGACTGTGGCTGTTTTGTTTGATATGATGTTTATGCGATTTGGTTCAGCAGATATGTCACCTATAATTAAACATGCATTATCGATAGAGTTTCTTATAATACCTCCTATTATCAACCCACTAATATATGGTTTTATACTTACCAAAATCCGTAATCGGATTGTGTTTAGTTTTACTAATAGGAAAGCTGAATTTTAAATTCAGAATATTGATCTCAATTATACATTTATATATTATAAATGTATTATTATTATTATAAATTGGCTATTTATAATGGCAAGTTGTTTAAAATGTAATATTGTGGAATATTCTACATTGTCATGAGTCATTTCATACAATTATTACAATATGTAAGCTAATAGGCCTTTATATAATTGTGTATGCATTAATAGGTTTGCAGCATCAATTAAGCCTGGGAACTGATAACAGGTCACAGTCTATATTATGGACAAAAACTAAGAATTGTTTCCAGATACATACATTGAATTGTACTGCTTGATATTCAGCTATTATCTGACTATGAACTAGTTATTTTTTCCCCCCCTAATATTCCTATGTTGAATAAAAGTACACGTTTGGATGGTTGGAAATGTAATATTTCCAATGTGACCTATTTTATTCTATTTTTATACTGCTCTTTAGTAACTAATACTAACTACTCTTTATTGTGTATGACAAAATCAGGAAATAATGTGATTTATTTATTGCTTATAGGTAAAAATGTAATGGTGTGGACTATGACAAACTGAAGTATATTGCGATAATCAGAGACGGAATGAAACGTGACATTTTTGCAAAGGTATCTGGCAGGATTTAGAATCAACACTGGTATGTGTTTAAATCTGTGTCTCAGGGAATGTAAATGGCAACCAGCGGTTTCTACTAATGCCAATAATAAGCCCTTGTTCTGTTTCCTAAAGCGACTCTGTCCAGTTGTTGTCGTTTTACAACCTTGGTCATGCAGCTCTTACATGTATGGAACTGCTCCAATACTGATCGTATGTTTTGAATGTTCTCAGCCTCACTTGTAAGTCGCTTTGGATAAAAGCATCTGCCAAATGACGAAATGTAAATTATACGTCATAGGCTACCAATTTATGTTTATACAAATACAGATCACATACGATCCCATTGAAAAATAATCATAAAGGAACATACCAGAGGCGTTTTTGTGTCTGTAACATCTTTAAATTAATATTCTCAGCAGTGATCTAAGAACCTATCTAAGGCCTATATGGACACTTGTCACTGTTGGTTGGTAAATGGTTCATGTAGGAAGAGGTGTTATTACACAATGATTTACTTTTTCAGGTACCCCCCCCCCCCCCCCAATAAATGACAATTGTGCCATTATAAGGTCTGTTAAATACAGACCACGTCAATTATTGAGCACATGTAACACCATAGGTTAACATAATTAGACACTAGTAGGAGTAGAACATTTGACTCAGTTAGATCAGCTGGGTATGTAAAAGACCTTAGGCAGGCACAATAGTGTCACAAAATCTTGACATTGCCCAATGAAAACATTGGAGGTTGCAATACTTTTGTCCTGCTCACTGCTGCAAACTGATAAAAGTACAAAGACAACTAACAAATCAATAAAAATAATTTCTCATAGTTAAATACCACAGTGAACATATATGTATTTAAATAAAGGTTGTTATCAACTCATCACCTTGAGCCATGGCAATGAATATATCTTATCAGTGATGGATGGATGATTGTAGTGGGGGGGGGGGGGGGGGCTGACCACCCCTGGCCCCATCATGGCTCCGCCTTTGCCAGTGTGACTGTGTTTCTCATAGTGTGTGCGCGTGCGAGAGGGATGAACTCCTCTTACTGCAGGCCACTGGGGAATCAGTGAACTCTTACATAATGAATACATGAGTTTGAGAGCACCTACAATTCCTAACTCACAGTGAAGGAGTGGAGTGAAGAGGAGACTACTATAGATCATGTAATTACCATGGATAACACTTCTGTCATAACAATGTTGACACTTTCAGGGTTGAGCGAGGCGACCACCAACCGAATGGTTCTCTTCTCCCTAACGCTACTTTGTTACCTTGTGATACTGATGGTGAACATTTCCCTGGTTCTGACCATCATCTTGGACCAGAACCTCCACCAACCCATGTATATTTTCCTGTGTAACTTGTGCCTCAATGCTCTTTATGGAACTGCCGGTTTCTACCCCAAGTTCCTTCTAGACCTGCTCTACTCTCGTCACGTGATCTCGTTTGGGGCTTGTGTGGTGCAGAGTTTAGTCATATATTCCTCAGTCTGCGTTGAATATTCAATCCTTGCACTGATGGCCTATGACAGGTATGCAGCGATATGCCGACCGCTCGAATATCACTCTCTTATGAAAAAGCAGAATGTCTGTCTGTTTACATGCTTCTCCTGGGTTATTCCTATTTTAAATGTACTTGTTTCTATTATAAAAACATCTACATTGAAATTATGTGGCTCGCATATAAATAAACTCTACTGTGCCAGCTGGTTAATAGTTAAAATCACTTGTTCTCCTGGCCTGACAAACACTGTTTTAGCTTATATTACCATCATCATTTATATTTTACATTTTGTTTATATTTGTATGTCGTACATTTATTTGATCAGAACATGTGTGAATTCGATAGAAAGCCGAGGGAAATTCATGCAGACTTGTTTGCCACATTTACTGACTCTGCTCAATGTGAGTGTGGCTGTGTTGTTTGATTTGATGTTCATGCGATTTGGTTCAGCAGATATGTCCCCAAGAATTAAAAATGCATTATCGTTAGAGTTTCTTATAATACCTCCTATTATCAACCCACTAATATATGGTTTTATACTTACCAAAATTCGTAGTCGAATTAGGTTTATTTTTGTTAACAGGAAAGCCGAATCATGACCATGAATATTGGTCTCACAATTATAAAGTTGTAATTTTATTATTATTATTATTATTATTATTATTATTATATATTGGCTATTCATAATGGCAATTAGTGTCCAGCATTATATCATACATTGTCATGAGTTAAATGGTAAAACGATTTGAATGTGTAGCTCCTTAAAGTCCTTATCATTTGTCTCATCTTCTTGTGTTGACTAAAAGTTCATGTTTGGATGGTCGGAAATGCAATATTCCCCACTGTTAACTACTCTTTATAGAATAACACCAGGAACTAATGTGACAAACTTCTGATTGAGACTGATCTAAAAGTGATATTTTTGCAGTCACTCTTGTAATCAGTAGGGTCATTAAGCTGTTAATAAGCTGTACAATGTCTTACGATATTTCTATGAATAACTTAAAACTCAGTAACACATAATCCTGCACAAAATTATCATCCCAATTTCCAGGTCCCAATTTGTATTCACTAATGCTCACACTGTTGCCCAGTATGATATGTGTATCTATGTGTTTGAATACCTATTTGTTCTTTCTGTTTGTTCATTCCATAAAACATGTAATTTGATTTCAGATCCATATGTACATAGCATCTTTGTTTTGCTTGTAGTAATTAAAGTTATCATATGCAGTTGCTGCAGAACTGTACTGTTTTTTGTTTTAAATCTTCAAATGATACCATATAATTAAAACAAAAACTGTTTTTTGTTTGTTTGTTTGTTCTGTTTAAAGTTAATATATGCAGTTGTTGCCTC